GGGACTCCCCATGGGCCTGACAGCGGAGCAGGGAGCAGGAAGGTGGGCTTCAGCAGGGGTACAGAGGGAGGGTGCTGCAGACCGGGGATGGATGCGTCTGGGCGTGTCGGGACTGCGCACGCACGGTAGGAGAGAGACAGATGGTGCCAGAGGCCAAGTGGCCAGTGTGACCAAGAGGTCGGCTTAAGTCAGGGCCCAGTCCTGGGGACTGGGGAGCCATGGAAGGTTTAAGCAGGAGGGAGGTCTGTCTAGGCCTGCGGATAGTAGATGCAGAGAGAGCAAATTGGCTGCAGGCTGTAGCTGGTGTGGCCTGTCTCAAGAAAAGGAAGTGATCCGGCCCTGAGACCCCAGCAGCTCTGCCCCAGCCAAGGGCAAAAGTCACAGAAGACAGCGCCTCTCCCTTTACCCTTCCTGGGTCCAAATAAAGGAAATTTAAAATATAGTTCCCTTTGTGGGAATCGGGCGAGGTGAATGTGGGGGGCGGCATTAGCTGTTGTTCAGGCCCACACTCCCTCTTACATAAGCCATGAGTTAAAAATACCCGCTCCGCCTCACGCTGGCCGTAGGGAGCCCCCACAGAGACGGAAGCACTACTGTTCTAGGCCTGGTGCCCCCAAATCCCGGGTTATTGAGTAGCAAGTGCAGGCCCCGGGCCTTCTGGAGGCTTGGGTATCGTGCGGACCTGCCCAGAGGTGGATTCACCCACCACCCCTCTGTGCCTGTCCTTGATCTGGCCTCCACCCGTGTTTCCCATCTCTGTCATCCCTCTGGTGGGCAGAGAACAGAAGGCCAGGCCAGAATCCCCATCCCAGGACTCAAGGTAGAATGGGTCTGGAGAGCCACTGAGGCAGGAGCATGCCCTCCCCCCACCCCCCACCCCGCCCCGCTGGATCCTGGCTGGGGCTTCAGGAGAGGGCAGGGTGCAGCCAGGACTGTTGACCTAGAAGAAGAGAGGAAAGATAGAGGAGGAAGCAAAGGGGAGGATGAGAGGAGTGGGGAGGGAGGGAGGGGGGAGGAGGAGAGGGGAGGGGAAGGGAGGGGAGGGAGGGAGGGAGACAGGCAGCCCACAGCCAGTTTGCTCCAGTAGCCACTGGAGGCAAGTCAGGCCCTTCACACTCCTGGTTCCTCTGACCCCTTTGCCTGGCTGCTCCCCATCTCTTAGACTCCGGGATCTCAATGCCCAGGGGTGACACACACAGAGACCCCCCAGTGTACGGGTGCTGCCTGCCATCGCTGTCGGACCCACAGGAGAAGCCAGGAGACATCGGCACTCGCCTCCTGGCCTCACTGCGTGGCTTCTCCTTCACTTCCATGGCTGATGTCTCTCGTGGCCTCGCTGTGGCCTGAAGCCCGGCAGACAGAAGCCCACATGGGTCTTAGTGGCGACCGCGAGTGAGCCGGATGGGCTCTGACCTCAATGCCATGAGGCAAAGCCATCCGCAACGATGACCCTGTGCAGGGTCTGCGGCCATCAAGGGTTGGTCTTGTGAGGAAGGGCCTTGAGAGGTCTTACAGGGGCTGCCTAGAGCCAGCCTTGACCCTGGCTGTGGACATGAGGAATCTATGGTGTCTCATAGGTGCAGTTCAAACTCTCCTGGCCTTTCTTGGCCAGTCAGCTATGGCCCCCAACTTCTGAAATGCCACTGTCAGTGAGGCTCATGCAGGGTATGTGGTATGATGGTACCTCTCCCCTCTGGACACCAACCCTCACCTGTATGCATGAGGCCCGCCTTTCCGCTCCAAGGTCCCTTAGCTGCTGTGAGCCTTGGTCACCCACAATGGCCCTTCCAGTGACAGATGGAGGAACAAGTATTTCAGACAGGCCAGCAGCCTAGGTGTGGGGGTTCCCTCACCTACCAGGAACCCCAGGCTAGAAAGAGACAACCTGTGGCATCTGCCAGCACTAGGTCCCCAGGGATCCCAGGTGTCCCTCAGCCCCAGGGGCTTGGTGAGGGGGTAGTGTTGTCTCTGGATTGCTGACATAGAGGCCTGGGTGTGCTCACCACCTGAGGCTTGGGGACTCAGCGTCTTCTCTGCTGGGACAGGCTGGGACTTGAACAGCTTCTGTGGGATAGATTTGTCATCCGTGAGTTGACAGCCCGAGGGGCCACCATCCTAGGGCATGATGGGTCCCTCCACTGTGAGGACTCTGTAGATGGGGTGATATAACCATGCTTGCAAAAGTCAAGAGCTGAAGAACAGCATTCTCTCCTAAAAGGCCTATGTGTGGATAGTAGGCTGGGGTTGATGGCCTCGTAAGGTCCCGCTGAGACTGGGGAATTCTGTACCCGTGATCTGTGGCATTAGGCCAGCCCCCTCGCCTCCTCTCTGCCAAAACGGAGGAAGGGCGGTACATTGTTGGCTTGTTAGGGGATGGAATTAGATAATACTGGACTCCACACCAGGTACAGCAACTGCCTGGCTCTGAGATCAGGGTAGAGTTTAGGAAGTGTCAGGCCTGGGAATGGAGGCAGGGGGTGACCCGAGGATGGATTTATCGGAGCCTGGGAGTCATACATGCTTAAGAAATACCTATGTCCTGTCACCTGCCTGGGGCCTGCCGTCAGACCTGGGCCTGGGTCTCTCCTGTCCTGAGCCCCACCTGGCTCATCTCTACCCTGATGAGGGGTTCTGCTCTACTGCTCAGTGCCTGCCTCCACTCGTGTGTGTGTGTGTGTGTGTGTGTGTGTGTGTGTGTGTGTGTGTGTGTGTGTGTGTGTAAGGGATGCAGGTAATGGCTTTGCACGTCTCCTAAGAGGACGACCGGTCCCTCGTGGGATATTGTGCTCTGGGGTAATGTAACTCGGGGCAGGAAGCAGGGATTCTGCTGAGAGCGCAGCACCTGTGTGGGCTCAAACAGAGCGAGGACTGTATCGCTCCAGGCTGGGGCCCACATGCTCGGGGACCCGGATCCTCTGTCTCTGCCATCCTAATGTGCACTGGGGCTGGCTGGATCCACTGGCAAAAACCACACCTGCCTGAGCTGGAAACTTTAGTTTCTTTTACAGGATGGGTGATGACTCCATGTGGTGGGTAGGAGGGAGACCACCTCACCAAGATTTAGGAAAGGAGGGGCTTCACGGGTTTCTGGGTGGCTCCCTTCCGACCTTCTCAGGGTCATGCCCAGCAGCCCTATTGGGGACCTCCGTATACTCAGTATACCACTGTGTACCAGGCCATCACAAGGTCCCAAGAGAGACGGCAGTAGAGCTGTGTCACTCAGTAGTGGGACAGCCACACCTGAGCCGCCCTGATTGGTCACAGAGTGGTGTTGCCTGGTGTCACTCGGGAGGATCCCTGGGCCGCCATGCCAGGATGTAACAGGTCCCAGATACGTGCTCATTGATTGAATGAGGGAGGGCAGAAGCCAAGGCAGGTTTCTCTCCCCACCTTGCAGGTCCTGGAGCCCTGGAGTGGAGCCCGGTGTCCTAGAGGCTTGCCTGGCCCAGGGGGCGGGGCTTAGCACTCAGGGCCAGGCTCTGGCGGAGGATGCGTCTTAATCCTAGGTCCTGGGCGTGTTGGGTGGGCAGCTTCTGCTGTAGTGATGAGGGTGAGCGGGTCATGGAGGTCAGTATCTGGGTGCGCCTCCTTGGTCTTAGTTGGGCCCCCACCCCAATTTCATCTTACTGCTTGTCTGCTGAATTCGCCCATATTCAAACCTAGCTTTCTGAGCCTTCCTGGCAGCCGAGCCTTAGGCAGGGTACCCAACTGTCTGACGAAGGAGAATCAGGAAGCTGCCATTCAAACATAGTAGGGCAGAGCCCAGCATGGCTTGGCAGTGTGCTCTGAAAACTGATCTGTCCCATCTCCATCTCAAGCAGAGGAGGAGGGCACACACACACACACACACACACACACACACACACACACACACACACACACGTACGTACTCTGTCCTAACCCCTGCTAACATGTTAGTGGTTGTTCAGTGCCTTTCCCTTCAGGCATATCTCTGACGCAGAGACAACTGTGATGTGTGGTAGCTCTGGGTCTGTGTCATCAGCTGAGTGAGTTGGGGGTTGAGGTGGCTTCCTGTGAGGTGTGGAGGAAGCATAGAAAGCCTTTCCACAGGGATGGCTGATAGGGTCTGGGAGCTCAACTCTGTCTACTGCCCTGAGCACTTCATGGCACTTTACAGTTTACACAAACACTTGACCATGGTAATAGCCTTGATAACTGATGCATGTGAGGCCCGCGTGCCTGGGTCATTCCATGTCCAGAGGACGAGACTTGGGTTCCTTCGTAGAACTGGGGTCTCAGTTAGAACTGTATGTTTCCAGGCAAGTTTCTGTGTCTCTCTGGGCCACAGATGCCTGTCTGTAAAGTGCAGGGCTGGGGTGTGTGTGAAGGACATAGTAGGTGTCTATAGGCTCCTCCCTTGCCAGCCCACCCCCAAGCTACCACTTCTGAGCCCATCCCTGTGCCTTAATGGGGCTGTGACCACAGAGCACTCTGACCTCTACCTGTCATGAGTGGTTCCTGGCTGGTCCCTACTGGCTCCTTCTCCATCCTGCCAATAGGATTCTCCTCCATGTCCCCCAAGGCAGGCTGTTCCCCTTCCTGGACCTAAGTTTCCTTAGCTGTAAAAGTGGGATGACCACCCTTAGCTCTGAGGACGTGCTAAGTGCAGAGTAAGCCCCCAGCAAGTGTCTGTCCAGGGGACTAGACAGTCTCCCCGACTCCTTTACGGTATCAGACGCGGGTTTTAGAAGGGCTTTTTATCTCTCATGGTGTCTGGTAGTCTTTGTCCAGAGATGGGCCACTCCGATGTCATTTCCTATCTTCTGCCTCCCGGGGAGCGACAGACCTAGAGGTGGTGTGTGGGTGTGGCGGGGTGGGCTTTTCTTAGGTAGTCTTCACAGCTGAGCCTCTGAGGTCGTCTCCAGCCACGGAAGAGGGGCAGATGCTGCCTCTCATCGCCGCGGCCCCCCCCCCCCCGTACCATCATCACCCCGAAGGGTCTCCCACTGGCCACTAACTCGTGTCTCCTTTCTCCACAGCCCACGACCTCCCTACCAACAAGGCCTCAGCCACCCAGCCCGGTAGTCACCTGCAGTGCCTGAGCGTCCACTGCACAGACGGTGACCCCAAGGCCCGCGCCTCCGTACCCACCTGGCGGTCTCTGCACTCCGACATCTCCAACCGGTTCGGGACGTTCGTGGCCGCCCTGACTTGAGCCCGTGGGAGCCTCTCCCTGCCCTGCCCACCCGTGAAGGGCCTCCGTGGCTGAGCAGACTTGTGTTTTTTTTTTTTTTGTCTTAGGTTGGTACCTGCTTAGTGGCACTCGGAATGGAAAGGGTTCATTTGGAAAGGGGCCGGGGGAAGGTTGATATAAAAAAGAACCTCAGAGAATAATTAAGGAGACCGCGTGCCACGGTTGTGCCGGCGCCAGTGTCCGTTCTCAGACAACAGCGAGCGCTGTCTCAAGCCGTTTTCCTGCTAGAGAGCCCCCTGCTTTCCGTACTCGGAGTGTGTTCTAGAAGGCCCTTGCCTTGTCTGAGCCAAGGCGGGGCGCGCCTGGTACCCCTTTTCTTTTTTATTCTCTTTGATTCTCCCCTCCCCCTCTCCCTTCTCCTCCCCCATTGCTTCTGTTCATCACCGACTAAGATGGAGATCGTGGAGAACAGTGCTCTGGAATAGCCCCGGGTGGAAGCCGCAGGGTCTCTGTAGCGTCTGCTGCTCTTGTCAAGGAGCAGCTTGAGGAACGGCCAAGGACTGGGTTGTCTCTGTTCCCGGAAAACCTGGAGAGGTATTTTCCTCACTGGCCCTTAGCCTTCGGGTGGCTTCCACTCTTCCCACTGGGGACTGCTCCTCCCGTCCCTCCTGGGTTGTGTGCTGGATGCTGGGGTGCTGGGACCAGCCACTTGGAGGAAGGAGTCTGCCGGGGCCGTGAACTCCCTACATCACCTTTGCACACTCTGACTTCTCTGTGCTGAGCAGGGTGGTCTTGTGACCCTTCAAGGGGACAGGAGAGGAGCGGTCAGCTGTCCCAGTGACCTCCTGGCCCTGCTCTCCCAGGTCTCACACTTCCTCCTAGCCCACTCCAAGTGACTCCATCCCTGGGAGGAGGGATTAAGGCAGCCAGGCTCAGGCTGAGACACCCTCTCTGATCCTGCAGTTCCCTTACAGGGATAGGAGGGAAAGAGGATAAAAGGATGGCGGCTTCATGATGTCCATTCCCGGGCCTCACGTTCCGTTCCCTTCACGGGGATGTCTCCTGCCCTGTTGATTTCATTTCATTCAGATTTGAAAGCAGAGCCCTGCCCCAGGTGTCCCCTGGGAGAGGCGCCCCCCACCCCGCCCCCCTTAAGCAGAGAGGAGCAGAGATTGGGGGAGCTGATGCAGATGACGCCTTAGGGTGTGGTCTGAACCCTACCAGCCTGTGTGACCCGCTGCTGTGGGGCCGTCCATCCCTGGGAGGGTCAGGCCAGAGCCAGCAGTCCTCCAGTCTCAGCTCAGCTTTTGTTGTTAGTGCAGCTTCCCAATTGCTCCTTTCTGAGCCCCCACCCCGACTTGACGGAACCCCCTTCCATTGCTCAGCAAGAGGCCCGAAGGCTCGGGGCTCTCCAGATACCCATATTGTTTGTGTCGAGGGACTTTCAACCGTGGGAGCTGCTTGCCAAAAGCTGGTTCTCCCTCTGTCCTCCTCCTCCTCCTCCTGGCGGAGGTCTGAGCCCCCAGGGTCCTCACTTGTCTGGGCAGTGTGATGGGGCTCAGAGGGCAGACAGAAACAGGTGATATGGGCTGGTGAGCAAGAAGTGCCCTCTGTTCTATGCCCAGAGCGGTGAGGGGATGGCCCTAGGAGCCTCCTCCAGGCTTTGGTCCCGACTCTACATTCACCCTCAGAGTTTGCGATGCCTAGCCGTCCGAGAGAGCCAGCCTTTGGCTCCCCAAACAAGAAATGACTTCTCCTTCACTGCTTAAGGCCGGAGAACGAGTGTCCCAGCGTCCACCAACAAACGTCCCAGCATCCAGTCCACATGCAGCCACCGGCGTATGGCTCAAGCCACCTCCCGAACCCAGGAAGTGTCCAGTGTTCTCACGTTCTCCCTCCCCACAACCCCAGGGTGAAACAGCGTTTAAAATAGCCTTAAGCAAAAGGATGCCATGTCATTAAACTTGGTTTTAGTGGAAGGAATTTAAAGGTAGACGAAAACCATGCGAAGTGCGCGAGAGCCCGGGGACACTGTAATCAGTATGCAGCCAACTCCAGTAGAGAGAAGGAAATCGCTATTGCACATGTAAAATATGAACCCTTAACCCTGCGGTGCGGTGCGTGAGCCTGTAAGCTTTTTTGACTCTTAAAGAAAAACCGTTTCTGAAATGCTTGGGAAGACAGTGACAATAGCTCATGAAACTGAGTGGTATTTTTCTTTCTTTTTTTAAAAAAAAAATATGTAAAGTTGAGTCTTCCGTATTCACGCATTACTGTATATACGTGTATATGTTTTGCTGAGCGGCTTAAATAACAATAAATACAACGTTAATGGTGTCCGGGGCATGTTTGTGGGCCTTCTACAGGATCCTTGCTCTCTTTGCACACATATTGTGTTTGGTGTGCTTGCGTGTTCACATGTGTGTGCACGGGCACTTGGGGAAGCCTGAAGTTGACATCAGGTGGCCTTCCTCCAACATCCCATCCCTTGTAGAGTCCAGCTCTCACCGGTTTGGTGAGCCTGGCTAGCCAGGTGGCCCTGAGGGTTCCCTAGCTGTGTCTCCTAAGGGTGGGGATTACAGGTGGCCACCATACCTGCCCGACTCACATGTCAGTCATCCAGAATGCGTGTGTACACTGTGCACGTGCATGTATACATAGGCATACGTGTGTGTGTGCATATGTATATGTTCTGAGTCAGCTTACCCCAGGGCCTCACAGCCTTGATGTATCCCCCTCAGGGCCTGATCACTTTTTCTCTTATAGGGCAGGGTGGGTGCTCAGGCCTCCTCACAGATCCCAGGCTCCTACCCACTAGGCCTTGGCAGGATTCATCCCCCCCCCCCCCCCCCCCCCCCCCGCCCAATGACAGCCAGGATGTCTCCAGTTTTGTCCGGTGTGGAAGGACTGTCCCCGTCAGGAACCCCTGTGATGGGCCAGGGGTGTGGGAAGCCATGGAGGGTTGTGGGATGGAGGCCCTTCTGGAGTCTTGTGTTCAGCTGTGTGACTGATGCCAAGAACGTGGCTGCGGCCTTGGGCACCTCCTTGTCCTCACGGGTGAAATGGGTGCAGTGTGAGGGTCACCTCGGTGAGCGGGACGCCATGAGGAAGAAGGCTCTGGATGCACTGCTGCGGCTTTGGCATTGCTTTGGTGAGAGCGGCATGTCTGCGTGGTACCCTAGGGCGGCCGCCATTCCCTTCTTTCAAATGGAGTGAAGGTGGGCTGTAGACATGCTCTCTGCCTGTGGGCCTGTGGAGGAGGAGGAGGAGTGCTTTCCTAGCACGTGCCAAGGCCCTGGGTTCCACCACCCCCACCCCCATTTTCCAGGGGGTACAGCTAGCATCCAATTTGAAGGTCTCCCATCATCTTCTGTGGCCCGGAATTCCAGGTTCGGCTTTATGGTGTCACCAAGCCGCCCCTTCTCCCCTTCACGTCTTCAATGATGGTGTCTGCTGTCGTGTGGTCCGGGAAATGTGGCAGCAGAAACCTGGAAGGGTTTGTTAACTTCAGCTTGCTGGCCGGAGCCAGACGCTGACCTTGAACTCCGTAGCGTTATAATGGTGCTTGGGTTTCTCTCCTAGCCTGTTACGGGCCGGGCCGCAGAGACACTGGATACTTCCCGAGAGCCCAGCAGCGTGCTCCCGGCCACCCGCTCCTCCTCCCCTGCTCCCCCCTCCCTGGAAGTTCATACTATCTAGCAGATCCCGAGATAGGCACAGCCAGGTCGTCCATCCCTCCACCTCAGGAGCAAAGACTGCTGTTTCCCACACGCGTGGAGGCTCACCTGGCCCTCAAGCAGGCGGTGCCTTGCTCTCCTCGGTGGCACAGTGTACACAGAGCACTCACTACTGACCCCACAAAGCTGGTCTGTGGGCACAGGGAAGCAGAACTAGATGCGGGTGGGGACAGAGAGGAGATCCGAATCCCCTTGCAAAGAACCCCACTAGCCCAAGGAAATCAGCGATGTAGTGGAACTCAGCCGGTTTATTTCTCCTGCTGTGGCCAGGTACCATCAAATACCTGCAAGCCAGAGGTGGGGTCCTGTGAGGCATGGCCACTGTTGTCTCCTTGTGTTCCGAGATCACCTGTGCCAGATGGCTCCAAGGGCTCGGCTTACAAAGCTGCTTTTGAGTCCTGTTGCAACAGACACCATGGCCTCCCTGTCCATAAATTATCCCGGTCTGGGAAGGGAACACAGGGAATAACCTGGCAGCTTAAAGTGAGGATTCCAGTCACTATAGTGGTATAAGGGTCTTGAGGAAGGCTTTCCCCAGCAGGGCATTCTGGATAGGATCTTTTTTTTTTTTTTTAAAGAGGTTTATTTATTTATTATGTCTACAGTGTTCTGCCTGCATGCTTTGCCTGAAGGCCAGAAGAGGCCATCAGATCTCATTATAGATGGTTGTGAGCCACCATGTGGTTGCTGGGAATTGAACTCAGGACCTTTGGAAGAGCAGCCAGTGCTCTTAACCGATGAGCCTTCTCTCCAGCCCCTGGATAGGGTTTTGAAGGATGCGTAAGAGTTTATCCTACTTCTCTCACCGTATAGATTGACTTTGTTCAGATTTTTATCTTTTGAGTTTTTGAAGTCCTCTTTATCAAGGTCATAGTGTTTTCTCCTCAGTGCCATAGCCCAAGGACAGACCATCCATCTTTACCTTAAAGATCCTTCAACCTTTAAAGGGCCCCTTCCACAGTGACACGGTTTTGGGACCATGGTCAGGACCTGGGGAAGGGCACACGTGTGGAGCATGCTTGTGCCTGTGCTGGGCGGGGCTGAGTCATCCTGCAAACGGCCCAGGAAGCACATCACTGGAGTGGGAACCCCAGACACATGCAAGCAACAGGAGGACACACTAGTCCTGGAGAGAGCCAGCTCAGGGACCGGCTCCCTCCTCCTCCCCACCCTGACAGTCCTGGGGATGAGGGACAGATGGTGGCCAGGGGCCCAGCTCCGCTCCAGTCAGGACGTGGGGTGAATCTCCACAGCAGCAAGGGTGTGAGAGAGATATGTGGGGGTGCAGAGTAAAGGATGGGCCGGTGCATCACAGCCCAGGGTCCACCCTTCGTGCCTCGGTTTGCTTGTTTGTTATATGGGGAGGAGTAACCCTGTCCTGGGTAGTTTTCATTGTCAACTTGACAACCTGGAGTCACTGGAAGAGGGAACTGAAGAACTGCTTCCATCAGGTTGGTATGTGGGCAAGCCTGTGGGGCCTTTTCTGGAGTGACGATTGATGAGGGAGGACCCAGCCCACTGTGGGTGGTGCCACCCTAGGCATTGTCCTGACTTCCCTCGAAGACACCTGTGGTGGTATTGTGTTCCCCAAAATATTGTGTACCTTAATAAACTTACCTGGGGTCAGAAAACAAAAAAAGCCACTAGTTAGGCAGTGGTAGCACATGCCTTTAATCCTAGCATTCCAGAGGCAGAAATCCATCTGGGATCTCTGTGAGTTCAAGGCCACATTGGAAACAGCCAGGCATGGTGACTCACGCCTTTAATCCCAGAAAACAAGCCTTTAATCCTAGGGAGTGATGGTAGAAAGCAAAAAGGTATATAAGGCGTGAGGACCAGAAACTAGAAGCTTTTGGCTGGTTAAGCTTTTAACTGGTTAAGCTTCAGGCTTTCGAGCAGCAGTTCAGCTGAGAGCCATTGGGATGAGGACACAGAGGCTTCCAGTCTGAGAAAACAAGACCAGCTAAGAAGTTGACCAGGTGAGGTTAGCTGTGGCTTGTTCTCTGATCTTCCAGTTCACCCCAATACCTGGCTCTGGGTTTGATTTTATCAATAAGAACCTTTAAGATTCCTGCTACAGACACCGAAGACGGTGTGGTGGTCTGAATGATAATGGCCCCCCCGTGATATATTTGAATACTTGGTGCCAAGTTGGTGGAACTGTCTGGGAAGGATCAGGAGGTGTGGCCTTGTTGGAGGAGGTGTGTCATTAGGGGTGAGCTTTGAGGTTTCAAAAAGCCAGGCCTGGCCCAGTCTCTCCCTCCCTCTCTCTCCCTCTCCCTCTATTTCCCCCTCCCTCTTCTCTTCCCCCTCCCCCTTTGTCTCTCTCTCTCTGTCTCTCATCTCTCCCTGCTTCTCTCTGCCTATGACTCAGATGTGAGATCTTATCTACTGCTCCAGTGCCATGCCCTGCCTACCTGCTGCCACACTCCCCGCCATGACGGTCATGGACTCTAACCCTCTGGAACTGTGATCCCCCAGATTAAACGCTTTCTTTTATGAGTTGCCTTGGTCATGGTGTTTTATCCAGGCAATAGAAAAGTAACTGAGACAGATGGTCTGTGACCGGGAAGTGTAAGCCAAACCCTTTTCTGCCCTAAGTTGCTTTTGGTTAGAGTTGCTTTTGGTTACAGCGTCTTATCACAGCAGCAAAAAGGAATGCAGATGAAGAGCTGACCGCCTCCTGGGAAGATGTGTCTCAGGGTCACAGGAAATGCCCAGTCTGAGGAGCACCAGGACTCACAGGTTCCAGTAAGTCCTTGCCCTGTGCTGGGACTGGAGCAGGAGGGTGCAGTGCAGTGGATGTCCGTGTGTCCTGTGTCCAGAGGCTGCTGTGTGTCCGTCCTGTGCTGGCTCTGGATGCTGAGATGACCCTTGTTCAACTGAGATCTTTTGTAAGTTTAAAATGTGCTTAGCTTTCAAAGCCAGACCAGGATAAAGAAAAGGTATTAAATACCTTACTAATTAAAATTGAGTTTTAAAAAAATTAATAATGTTGGAAGAACAATTTGACTATCCTAATAAAATAATTTTACCTATTTTTTTTCTCAGTTAAAATGTGGTTGAATGGTTTTCTTTTACTGTTGTGTCTCTGCTTCCAGTGGTTATAACAAAGTAATCAAGCCTGGGTGTTTTCTAAAGCAAAGAGGTTTGGTGAGCATGCAGTTCTGAACCCATCTGCTGTCACAGTGTGGCCACAGTGTGGTCACTGCCTGACAGTGGTGAGGGAAGAGGGAGGGAGGGAGGAAAGGAGAGGAGGGAGAGAGGGAGGGAGGGAGAGAGGGAGGGAGGGAGGGAGAGAGGGAGGGAGGGCACAGTAGGGGGAACAAGAAAGGGGGAGACTGAACTCGCTTCCCTGTGGGAACTAACCCAGCCCCAGAAACCCCACCCAGTCTTGAGGCAGCCAACACAGGCTGCCGAAGGGGAAGTTCATTCCTGGCACTGGCTTCCACGGGACACTGATGCCCCTATAAGGCCTCACCTGTGCACGGTGACGCCATCGGAGAAGGAAGCACACACACGTGGGGGCTGGATAAGCCCTGCCCTGCCCAGGTTCAGAACAGCACCTGCAGCTGAGCTCATGGTCTCCCTTGGGTCAGT